TTCTCCAGCATCATTTCTATCACCAAGGCCATATTTTCCAACTACTGATCCTTCCTCTTTGCTCACAACCTTTGCATTCCAATCACCAGTAATGATCAGTACATCCTGATTACACGTTTGATCAATTTCAGAATGAAGAAGTTGGTAGAATTCTTCTGTTTCATCCTCACTGGCTTTAGTGGTTGGTGTGTAAATTGGAATAATAGTGGTATTAACTGGGCTTCCCTGTTGTTGTCGTTGTCGTTGTGTGCCGTGGAGTCGGTTCCGACTCATAGCGACCCTGTACAAGGTTTCCGAGGCTGTAAATCTTTACAGGAACAGAAAGCCTCATCTTTCTGCCGCGGAATGACTGGTAGTTTTGAACTGCTGACCTTACGGTTCACAGCCTGATTTGTAACCACTACATTACCAGAGCTCCTTGGACTTCCCTGTAGGCGCATGGATATCATCCTATCACAGACAGTGTTGTACCTCATGACTGATCTGGATATGTTCTTTTAGACGATGAATGCAACACCATTCCTCTTCAGTTTGTCATTTCTGGCATAATAAACCATGTGGTCATCAGATTCAAAATGTCCAATACCAGTCCATTTCAGCACACTAATGCCTAAAATATCGATGTTTATGCATTCCATTTCATTTTTGATAACTTCCAATTTTCCCAGATCCATATTTCGTACATTCCATGTTCCGATTTTCAGTGGGTGTTTACAGCTGTTTCTCTTCATCTTAAGTTGTTCCCCATCAGCAAATGAAGGTCCCATGGCTTTTCTCCCATGAGCTTTACTCCATTTGCGTCCTCACAGTCAACTCTACTTTGAGGAGGCAGCTCTTCCCAGTCGCATTTTGAGTGCCTTCCCACCTGAGGGGCTCATTTTCCGGCACTATATCTGACAGTGTTTCTCTGCTATTCATAAGGTTTTCAGTGACTAAATATTCGGACATAGTTTGTCATTCCTTCTTCCTAGTCTGTCTTTTGTCTGGAAGCTCCTCTGAAACCTGTCCACCATGGGTGACCCTGCTCGTATTTAAAATACCGGTGGCATAGCTTCCAGAATCACAGCAACTCACAAGCCACCACAGTACGACAAACTGACAATTGGTGGCCATTTGGTTTTAAGTGGAAACTGCCACTTTAAATTTTGAGGAGATCTGTGCGCATGTGTAGTAGAATCTTCCTGGGGGTGTGAGGTGGGCTGCCTACTCACTCAGGCACCCCCTCTAGTCACCAGAATGGAGGTGTGCAGACAGTGAGAGACCAATGAACAGATACCAAAAAAAAAAAAGTCCACGTCTGCATCTCCGTGGTTCTGTCAGGTGTCCATGACTGCTCTGATCCTTCCCCCGCTTGATCTCTCTGAAGATGCGGCTTAGGGGCTAGGTGAGCATCTTGAATTAGAAAGCACTGGGTTTCTTGCTTCTGCTACAAATTCCCCCAGCTGTAAGCTTTCCAACCCTCTAAATATTCCTTTATGTGTGGTTCCGAGTTCTGGCACCATCCCTGAGCCTGCTTGGTCCCGTAGTCTGTGTTGTTGCTGATGGAGCTCCTCACTGCACGTCTCCCCGAGCCACCATCTTCTCTGATCTTCCTTATTCACTGCCCAGCTTTCGCATGCATATGAGGTTACTAAAAATGCCATGGCTTGGATCAGGCGCACCTTAGTCCTCAAGCTGACATCTTTGCTCTTCAACACTTTAAAAAGGTCTTGTGCAGCAGATTTGCCTAGTGCAATATGTCATTTGATTTCTTGACTGCTGCTTCTATGAGTGTTGATGGTTGATCCAAGAAGAATGAAGTCCTTGACAACTTCTATCTTTTCTCCATTTATCTTGATATTATTTATTTTTCTTTACATTGAGGTGCAAGCCATACCTAAGGCTGTGCTCTTTGATCGTCATCAGTATTTTAAGCCCTCTTAGCTTTCAGCAAGCAAGGTGGTATTATCTGCGTGTTGCAAGTTGTTAATGAGGGTTCCTCTGATCTGATGCCACATTCTTCTTCATATACCCAGCTTCTCGGATCACGTGGTCAGCATCCAGATTGGAGTGGAGTCCTGCTGTGGCGCTGTTGGGTAAGCCACAAACCACAAAGTCAGCTTGAACTGCAAGGTCAGAGGTTCAAACCCACCAGCCGCTCCTTGGAAACCCTATACAGGGTTACTATGGGTCATACCAACTCTACGGCACTTTACAGTAACAGCAATGTACAGACTGAATAAGCAAGATGAAAGAATACAACACGGGCACACTCCTTTCCTAATTATAAACCGTTCAGTGTTCCCTTGTTCTGTTTGAACAACTGCCTCTTGTTCCATGTACAGATTCCTCATGAACACAATTAAATGTTCTGGAATACTCATACTTAACAATGTTGTCCATAGCTTGTCATGATCCACACAATCAAAAGCCTTTGCGTAGTCAATAAAGCATAGGTAAACATCCTTCTGATATTCTCTGCTTTCAGCCAAGATCCATCGGACATCAGCAATGATATCCCTCGTTCCACGGCCGCTTCTGAATCCAGCTTGAACTTCTGGATGTTCTCTGTTTTTAAATTGTCTTTAACAAAATTTTACTTGCATGCGATTTTGATGATACTATCCAATGATTTCTGCATCCTGTTAGGTCATGTCTCTTTGGAATGGGCACAGATACGGATTTCTTCCAGTCCATTGGCTAGGTAGCTGTCTTCCGAATTCCTTGGCAGAGATGAATGAGTGGCTCCAGTACTGTATCAGTTTGTTGAAAGATTCCAGTTTGTATTCCATCCATTCCTAGTGCCTTGTTCTGTACCAGTGCCTTCAATGCATCCTGGCCTTCTGTCTTTAGTATCATTGGCTCTTGATCATATGCTATTCAGCCATTTCTTTTTGGTAACACTGACTCTGTATTCCCTCTATCTTCCTTTGATGGTTTCTGCATCATTCAATCTTTTGCCACAGACTCCTTCAGTATTGCAAGTCGAGACTTGAATTTTTTCTTCAGTTCCCTCAGCTTGAGAAACGCTGAGCGTGTTTTCCAGTCTGGATTCCAATCTTCCACCCAGGTGGGTCCACAAAGGACAGGACATAGGTGTGAGGCCTGGGGGGACAGGCTTGTGACCCCCGAGTCTCCTGATGCCGGTGGCACTCATTCCCTCACCTGTGCAGGGCTTACACCTTACTGCTGCTATCACTTACCTGCTGCCATTGGTGTCCTAGGCCTTGTCCCCTTCCCACCCTGGAGATGTGTTTTAGTAGGCCTTCTTCACTGAGCTGGTCAGAAAGAGCGCTTTCCAGCTCTGGGTAGATTGTGAATATTGATCTGTGCCTTTGTTCTGGTTTATCTCTTATATTTAGAGTTGTTGCTTTTCTGTCTCACAATGGAATGTCTGTGCATTGTAAGCGTTGCTGGTGTTTTCTCATCATCTCCATCGTTGCTGATAAACTGGGGGAACCCGTCCCCCCTGCAGTCTCACACACTCAGGCATCCCAGTTTCCTTACGTGTTCTCACGGCTTCATTGTTTCACTCTGAATTCCTTCTCCAGGCTGGGATTTTTCTGGGTCTGAGATGGGGGGCAGGGGTGCCTGTTTCCTAAGGTTGGTGCTGAGGTTGGAGTGACCCTGACCACTGACGTCCACGCAGAGGCCACAGCCCAGTCAGGAAGGGCACTGCTGCCAGGACTTTGCCTCTTCCCTGGGGTCACTGAGTCCCTCAGGACTGGGAGCCACCGCCATCAGAGAAGGGGCTGTCCCTGTCCACGCTTCCTGGACGAGGTCTCCATGAGCTGACATTTGCTCTCCCTGCAGCGCCCTGGACGTCCAGGTGGGATTCTGCTGTGACCTCCAGTCATGAGGACACTGCTGGACATGCTGGGGCTGGCCCTGGCTTGCGGCTTGGTTCACGCGACCCTGTCCAAGTCGGATGCTAAGAAAGCTGCCTCCAAAACGCTGCTGGAGAAGGTGAGCTCTGGGGCTGAGGTGGCACATGTGGGGTGGCCACTGAGTGGACGGCTTCCATCCCCACACTGTGTCTCTGCCCCTCCTGCCTCTCACTCTACCTGTGCCCCATCCCCACATCACCTGAACCTCCCCAGACTTTATCTGTCCCCTACTCCATCCATGTCCCCACTTCACCTGTGTCCCTGTGAGCTTTCTGGGACGAAGTGGTCTTGAGTCCCTTCTTCTGGGACAGTCCCAGGAGAGGAAGTGCAGCTCCTCCAGGTGTTACCCGATCTGGGGGTGGGGAGGGTGGTCGATGGTGGTCATGTGGTCTGGCCACTCCGGGCAGCTGCGGAGCCTGTTGCTGTGAAGCCACTCCGGGCACTGATGATGGCGTGAGGGTGGGAGCCTGGGCAGGCGAGGACACAGAGGGCTCTCGGATCCAGGGCAAGGGAGCCTGGTGCAGGGCCGCTCTGGGCCCGGTGACCCACGTGCTATCATCTGCCTCCAGACCCAGCTAGCAGACAGACCTGTGCAGGAGCGGGGCCTGGTGGTGACAGATGCCCGGGCCAAGGACGTGGTTCTGGAGCACCGCAGCTACTGCTCAGCCCGGGCCCGAGACAGGCACTTCCACGGGGCCGTCCTGGGCTACATCACCCCGGTGAGGCAGGGCAGGAGCTGGGGGTGCTGACGGCGTTCAAGACAGGCACTGCCGTGGGGCCGTCCCGGGCTCAGTTCCCTCACTGAGGAGGGACCCAGAGACTCCGATGGGTGGGTCAGCCATGTGTCCCCTCTTGCTGACTGACAGACTGGACATGGCAGGTGGCCAGCAGTGGGAGGCCTTAAAGTCCTTGAGGACAGCCCAGCACATAGGGCTCAGGTTCAGATATTGGTCCCCCGGCTCCCCGAGGGGCCCCCCAGGGAAGGACAAGGCCGTGGCCGTGACTGGCGACCACAGGTGGGGCGGGGGACATTGACCTGGGTCCCTGGGTCCCTGGGCCCACTCCTGGCAGAGGAGTAGAGCGCTGCTCCCGTTGTCCTCATCCCGTCTTCCGGCAGTGGAACAACCATGGCTACGACATTGCGAAGACGTTTGGGAGCAAGTTCACACACGTGTCGCCTGTCTGGCTGCAGCTGAAGCGGCGTGGCCGGGAGATGTTCGAGGTCTTGGGTCTTCACGACGTGGACCAAGGTCCTCCGCCTCCCTGCTCACCTGCGTTTGTGTTGAAGCTGAGAAAAGTGTGCGAGTGTGCCTGGACAAGGGTCAGGGATGGCCTGTGGGCATCGTCCATCGTCTGAGTGATGTGTGTAGAGTTGGGTGTGTGCATGCGTCCTCTCCTCATCTGTGCTGTGACCCCAGTCACACCTGCGTCACACCTTGTGGCTGCCTGCCCCGGAGAGGAGACTCGTGACAGCTGGAAGGTCGGCTGTTTCGGAGCTACTCCAGGAGTGTGTGGTGGAGGCTGGGGGTGGGACTGCTGACCCTAAGATCCAGATGCAGGTCTTTGTCAGCCCAGCATCCAGAGGACGAGCTCGGGACACCTCTGTGGAGTCAGGAGGGGCACACAGGGATGGATGTGGACCATACGAGGGGGTGTGGGGTCAGCAGGGGGGAGTGTAGAATCAGGAGGAGGTGAGGTGTAGGGTCAGGAGGGGAGTGAATGGGGCCAGATGGAGTAGGGGGTTTGGGGTCAGGAGCAGATGCAGGGTCTCACCCCTCACACCCGGTGCATGGCAAGGTCCCCAACGTGATTCCTGCTCATCCCCAGGGTGGATGCGAGCGGTCCGGAAGAATGCCAAGGGCCTACGTATCGGTAAGTGTGCCTGGGCAGTCAGGGAGACCCTCCCTCGACAGCATGGCCCCAGGGGGACCTGTGTGCTCAGCAGGGTTTTTGGTGCCCTAGTGGTTCCACTCAGGCAGAAAGGCCCCGGATCCTGTGTTCCTTCCAGCCCCCACCATCCCCCCATGGCCTGGCTGGGGGGATGCAGTGTGTCCCCAGTGAGGGACTAGGGAGAGTGGCTGGGGGACGGAGAGCAGGTCCTTGTTGGAGGTGGAGAGTGGTCCCTGAAGTGGGCACGCAGTGGGGGCTTAGTGTCCCTGATTGCTCCCAGCCGGTTCCCCCCTCACAGAGGCATAGGCTGCTTCAGAGCGGCTACTCTGTCTGTGAGCCTGACCCACTGAAGGGCAGCACGGGCCATGTGGGTGCCCATTGCTGCACATGACCGGTGGCTGTGTCTGTCTGCCCCCCAGTGCCTCGGCTTTTGTTCGAGGAGTGGACATTTGACGACTTCAGAAGTGTCTTAGACAGCGAGGACGAAATCGAAGAACTTGGCAAGACTATGGTCCAAGTTGCCAAGGTGAGGCCTGCCAAGTCCAGAGAGGCCAGTGTGCCAGCCACCACCTCCCCGGCTGGCCGCACGAGTCCTCACGCGTCCTGTCCCTTATAGAGCCAGCATTTTGACGGCTTTGTGGTGGAGGTCTGGAGCCAGCTGCTGGACACCAAGCAGGCGTGAGTGACCACACAGCTAGCTAGCCGGAGCAGCACCGGCTTGAGCAGCGCTGTGATGTGGGTGATGACGTGCCCTTGCTCTCCGGGGAGGCTTAGACACAGGAGGAGCCCTGTGAGCAAGGAGAAGCTGGGAGCCTCCGGGGAGCCGGAAGACCTCGTGGAGACAGCTGGTCTCCAGCCGCTGTCCTGTGACATGTAGGCTCTGTGGCTCCTTGGACACAGGGCACTGGGCAGCAGCGAGGAGGTGATGAAGGGGCCTCTGCCTGCCTCCATAGCCACCGGAGAGCAGCATCAGAGCCCCTGATGGAAGAGGCACTGGGCTTGGTCCCCTGCTGGGTGAAGGGCTCGGACAGGCACTAGACACTGAGGCTGGGCGGTCTGCGAAAGGGGTTCTGGGCCTGACCATGCCTTCCTCTCTGAAGGAGGTCGAGAAGGGGGGATCACTGGGTGACTAAGGGTCTCAGATCCCAGCACAGCCCCGGGCACGTTTGCTGCCTCGTGGGGAGGCTCTGACTTTCTGAGCCTGGCTGCGCAACCTCGCGTCCCATCTGGGGCACCTCCCAGCACACACCTGTGTGTCTGCATCAGGCCGCACCGCTCTGCTGCTTCTGCCAGGCTTGGCCTGTGGCCCCTCCCTCAGCCCTCCCCTGGGCAGAAGTCCCAGGCTCCCCTCCTGTTCACAGGGGCCTCGTTCATATGATCACCCACATCGCTGAGGTGCTGCACCAGGCCCGGTTGCTGGCCCTGCTGGTTGTCCCGCCCTCTGTCACCCCAGGGTGAGTGCCAAGGGGCAACCTGTGTGCCCAACCCCCCAAGTCAGACGCTGCTATTGTATTGTACTGGCCCGTGGCTGTGTGCTCTGTGCAAGGGCTCATTGAGACACTCCACACCTTATGTGTGTGTCCTCGTGTGCGGTCTGGGTGTGCATGTCCGTGTGTATGTGTGCACCAGCTTCCCTCTGTCCTAAAAACAGCCCGTGTGGCGACCAGACAGCCTCTGCCCTTCACAGAGAGGTGGAGGTGCTGCACACAGTGGGCCACTAGCCTGTCCCCCGTGGCCATCTGGGCAGTCCTGAGGCTCTGGCCCCTTGCCTCACCATGTCCTCGGCTACCTGCCTGTGAGAGGGCCTTGGGGCTCAGTCACTGTGCAGGTCAGGCAGGCATGACGCCCCCCACCACCTGTCTGCATCTGTGGCCCTCCACTCCCGTTCCTCCCTGACACGGCTCCAGACCTGTCCCCCTACACCGAGGCCCAACACGGTGTGACCCGCCAGATCCCAGGAGGAGTGCAATGGCCGGGGCTTGTGTCTGCTCACTGTGTTCACAGTGGTCATCCACACCGTGGTCAGGCCTGAAGGGCTTGCCAGCCACCCATCTCCCCCAGCACTCCCCTGGAGACTCTGGGCACTGTCCCCCAGGGGTTGGGTATCTCAAGATCTGCAGGCCCAGACCAGGCTGTGTGCTGAGCCCCCCGCAGTGGAAGGGGTGCCCTCTCGGCTCGAAGGCTCTGTAGAGGGGACCCCCCTCCCCAGGAGTCTGGGGCCTGGACTCTGGCCTGTAGAGTGACTTGGAGCCGTGTATGACTTCAGTTTTCCCAGGGAAGAATCCCAAGGCTGGTTCCCGTGGAGCAGAGGTCCGACACGCCTCTGCCCCCTCGGGCCTCTGCTGTCTTCAGTAACCCATTGTAGTGACCACATAGAGCGCACAGGGGATACTCACAGGTGTGGGCTGGATGTGGGGAGTGAACAGGGTCAATTCAGGGTCAGAAATGATTCAGGTAGAGCAGTTCTGCAGTCAGGAGGGTCTCTCCCAGCCTTACCATCGGCGCGCTTCTCTCTCAGCCTCAGCCTCTGCCCTGTGCAGACAAGCATTACGTGCGCCTTTGTTGTGGTTGTTGTAAAGTACCGTCAAGTCGGTTCTGACCCATAGCGATCCTGTGTAGGGTTTCCAAGGAGCAGCTGGGGAGCTTGAACCACCAACTTTGCAGTCCAGCCCATTAGCCCCCAGCACCACACCTGCTCCTTTAGCGCTCCTGATAATTAATGCCCAGCGGGCCGCGCGCCGCTGTCCTCGCTCCGGGATTGGGAACTGCACAGGATCCCATGCTGTACCCGTGGCCCCTCTCGCTTGGTGCTCTGAGGTCCTCTGCTCCTCAAAGAATGGGTCTTTTTATATTCAGTGGGATGACAGACCCACCAGGCCTCACACTGACTCCCAGATGCCAGTGGGAGTTACAGACTGTGGATAGTGAGTAACTCGCTGCAGCTCTTAGCAGGGTGGGGAGCAGAATGCCCGTCCCGTGCAGGCTGTGTGGAGCGTGTGTGCTGCTCTGGGGTGCCTGTCTCCCCACCACCACCACCCCCGCCTTGGGCTGCGGCCGCCCCACCCACCTCATCAGGCACTAGAGCAGACTGAGGCTCTCTCTGGTGATGGTGGGTTGTGAGGATTGTGGGTAGTGAGGATGACTGTTCTGGACAGAGCTGGGCTGCCCCATGGTCGGAGATGTGGCATCGCTGGGTAACAGGATGGACTTTCATAGGGCTGTCCACTGGGGAGAGCAGGACAAGTCTAGGCCCTGTCAGCCCTCCCGACACCCCCAGCTCTGCCCAAGGGGACCACGGGGGCACAGGCTGGGACCCCTTGCAGACTCTTCCTGGCCTCCGATATGCCATGTGAGCACGTACCCAACTCATTGCAGAACCCACCAACTGGGCGTCTTCACAAACAAGGAGTTTGAGCAACTGGCCCCGGTGCTGGACGGCTTCAGCCTTGTGACCTATGACTACGCCACAGTGCAGCAGTGAGTGACCGGGCCGGGACTTTGGCCCCAGTGACCCGCCACTGCACCTGCTGACCTGTCTCCTTGCCCTGTAGTCCCGGCCCCAACGCCCCGCTGTCCTGGGTCCGAGCCTGCATCCAGGTCCTGGACCCCAAGGCCAGGTGGCGGAGTAAGATTCTCCTGGGGCTCAACTTCTACGGCATGGACTACTCGGCCTTCAAGGATGTCCGCGAGCCCATGGTTGGGACCAGGTGAGGGGCCACTGGGGCTCTGTCCACTGGGCTGGCGGCGTGGCCGGCATGCACAGGGATGTGGACTCTGGATGGGCCGTGTGGGTGGGTGTCGTGGGGACGGGAATGGTGTAGCCAGAAACGGGCGTGTGGACAGTGGACAGACAGCGTGGGGATGGTCATACCTGATGCGTCAGGACAAGCGCTATGCCGTGGCCATCCTCACCTTGATGGCGATGCAGATGGTCAGCAGGAGCCACGCAGCTGCTGGCTTCACTCACGGGCCGTGGGCGTTCGTAGGGGCATCAGCCAGAGTCTGGAGACGGGGAGACTAAGCTAATGACAGCAGGCTGGGGGGCAGAGCACCCCACTGTCGTTCCTCCAGCTGTCTCTCCTACAGTAGGGGCTCCAGGGGTGTTAGCAAAGTGGAGACTGAGCTGGGGCCAGGGCATCCCACTGTTACTCCCACAGCTGTCTCTCCACAGCGAGGGGCCCCAGTTCACTTCCCCTGAGAGCCTGCACATGGGGCAGGACAGGGCTCCTCCCCCAGACCCTGTTTTTAGACGTCTGCTGACAGGCACCCAGAGAGAACATGTCCTGCTCCCTGCCCGCCCACTTCCACTCACAGGCTCACCTGGGCTGGGCAGTGGAGGGTGGACTGAAGATGGCTCCTTCCCCACCTTCTGCAGCGCTGAGACCCCCAGCCCCACCCCGCCACCATGTAGTCCTGTCTGCCAGGCTCCCTCACCCAGGGGCAGCTGCAGGACCCTGGAGCCTTGGTGGGGGGCTAGGGGGTGCCCCATCAGCACTCAGCTCAGTCGCGGTGGGGGCCTGCCCCTTCCCTGGACAGACAGCAGCATCGCTGGGTCCCCTCAGGCTGTAGGGTCCCCCCCACCTCACCTCTTTCCTGGTCTCATTCTGCTGGTGTGTGAAGCCCCCCTCAGACTAGCCCAGCTGTGGGCCCCTCTCCTACAGGCTGACTTACTCAGGGTGGAAATCCCTGGTCAGGAGACATGTCCAGAAGCAGGGTTTTCTCTGAAGGCCCCGGGGGTGTGGATGGAATGTGGCCACTGCAGAGGGACAATGATGCCCTTCCCTCCCCATCTGACCGTCCCGGTGTTTCTGTGGGCCGCGTGTTGTCAGTAATGGGAGGTGAGGTGCACTCGAGAAGAAGACATATTTTGAGCTCAGAGGGAACACTTACCAAAAGGCTTCAAAAGCTCTTGGAAAATTCAAACCCCCACTTGTGTCCCACAGGGCCTCGGTGTGGACAGGTGCTGGTGAGACCGCTGGTGGGCAGTGTCCACCCCACAGGTCACCACAGGGTTAAGTCTGGTTGCCCGGTGGGGATGGGCTTGGCAGCCTTTTGTTGGCAGGTGTCCAGACCCCTCAGCAGAAGGGGAGGGGGGTCACTACCTGGCCATCTGCTTGACCACAGACGCCAGGACCCAGGCGAGGCGTGGTGACAGGCCCTGCGCAGGGCTCCCTTGGACCTGGTGCTCCCCGGCCACCCTCCAGCAGCTTGGGACTTTCATGGGTCACATCTGTCCCCGACAGTGTGCTCCCTTCAGGGACATGAGGGACTGTGAATGCCACGAGTCCCTCTGGGCCAGGGGAGAGGACTGTCCCCGCAGGCTAGGTGCAGACCCTGGGCTGGAAAAGGCACTCCTTGATCTCTGACCCTGAGGTCAGTTCTCAGCCCCCAGCGTCCAGACCTACAGCTGCCAAGTCGGGTGAGCTGTTAGCCCGCTGGGCTCAGCCTACAGTCCTGCCGGGTCCTGGGGGGGTGGGCACCACCTGCAGCAGCTCTTGTGAGGGTGGACAGTAGAGTTGACCCTGTAGTAAGAGTAGATGGAGGCTCTGGACACACCCGACCCCCCCATCTGCCATCTACCTGGGTCAGAATGCCACCCCCAAACTGCTGCTTCTGGAAGCATCTGAGACCTCTAGGGTCTACAGCGTCCTCCACCTGGCTGGGTCCCCACGGCCGTTTACCACCTTGCTGCTACACCTGTGGTCCCCCACCACCCGTGACCCCCTCTCCCATTTCCAGCCTCTCTGTCCCGGACTAGCTCTTCCACTTTCCCTCTGGAGCGTGGCACCTCATCTCCCAGCTCTTGAGTCTCCGCCGAGGACTCTTCAGGCCCGCATAACCCACAGAGAGACCTCCGTTCCCCACTCCCTGCTCTCATGTTCTGGGATATCTCCCTAGGATGTAGCCAGTGTTTGGCTGGGTTCCCTGCAGTGTGGGCTGTAGACCACCCTCCCCAAGCTGCTCAGGGGGAAGTCTGGCAGGCTGTCTCCTTCACACACCCCTGAGCACCCTCCAGACATGGAAGTGACTTCTGGGTTGTGCCTCAGCCTCTGAGTGGCCCAGAGCAGCAGCCTGTTTGCTAGCAGGGGATGGAGACGTTTCTGGCGCTCCTGGCGTGTGGCAGCTGACGACACACTGGGCAGTAAATCACACAGTGTGTGCCAGCCTCCTTTCTGGAGGACTGGCCTAGCCGTGCCCAGGGCTAACTCAGGTGTATGGGCTCTCTCCCCTATCCTGGAGTTTCTCCCTGGTGTCAGCCATCACCCCTTTAATTCCGGGACCACTTGCCCCACCTTCCTCTATCAGCTCAAGCTGTGCTCTTCTCGGGGGTTCAGAATGCCCCCCACCACCATCAAACCTGCATGTTCAGCTCTGCTTCCTCAGTTACAGCCCCCAAGGTCCTCCCATGAGGAAGAGGAGGGGTCGGTCATCCCATGTCCAGCTATCACATTGGCTCCCAGGCACAGAGGTCAACAGCCTGCCGCTTTCCTGTCTACCCTCCTCTTGCAGCCCATGTTGTGGACCAGCCCTGTGTCCAGAGCACAGTTCCGTGGTCTCTGGTGCCATCGCCCCAAACATAACCCCACACCCCATTTCCATCTCCCCTGCCGGCCCTAGGCTATGTGACTGCCCAGGCGTTTGGTTTCTTGGTTCCACGAACTGCTGTTTCCTCATCTGTTCCTTTCTCTTCAGCTGGGGTGCTAGCCCCCCACTCCTCCACTCTGCCCTTGCAGCCAGCACCCATTCCAATTCTGACAACCCACAGGCTTCCCACCCAGGAAGGTCCTCATGGCCCTTACTGTCCCTCCATGTCTGTGCAGCACCCCGAGCCCCAGACAAGGCTTGTGTGGCGCAGCCACCTGTCAGCCGGCCCTCTTGTGTTCCTGAGTCTTTGGGAAGAGAGTCACTTAGAGACGCCAGGGGGAGATGCGCTGAGTGGTTTCACCAGGGTGAACTCGGGGCCCTCAGAGAGCCAGTGCCTGGACCAGTGCAGGCATATGTGGGGGCGGAGGACCCGAGACCACACAGGATCCTGGAGGGTGACGGCAAGGCCAGTTTGGGCCCTGAAGACAGAGGCTTCCATGTCCACAGTGTGCCCTTTGGTCAGACCTCAAACCACTGGCCCTAGGAGTGCAGGAGGGCCCAGGTTGTTGGGCAGTTGCTATCCATAGTGGGGGGGTCAGTACGGCTGGAGGAGACCCGGCCTCAGGCCTACACGTCTGGAGCCTGGTGGCTGTATGGGATATGGGGTTGGCACATGGAGCATCAGGGTTTAGGGCGGCCATCAGCATAGGCAGTGGCTGTGTCCACTTTATGGCACCTGCAACCGCTCTTGCTTACGTTCCTCTGGTCGGTCCGTCCGTCCCTGAGATATACCGGTGAGCACACAGCCTGGTGCTCAGTGGGCCCTCCTGGGACAGCTGGGGTCCTGGTACCGATGCGTGGCTCCCTGCAGGTACATCCAGACACTGAAGGAGCACAAGCCACAGTTGGTGTGGGACAGCCAGGCTTTCGAGCACGTCTTCGAGTACAAGAAGTGAGCATCCAGATGGAGGGGCATGGGGGGCATTTCCCAGCAAGGCCACGGTTGACACGGCAGGCAGGTCGGGGCTGGAGGAGGTGGGTATCCACCCTAGGTGGGCTGTGCTGGACTGGGAATGCATGGCTTCTGGTTTTTTCCAGAACCCGAGGCGGGAGGCATGTTGTCTTCTACCCAACTCTGAAGGTATGAGGGACCTGGGGTGCGGTGGGTTCCAATGTGTGCATGTCCCCTCAACTGAGGACACGGTGGGCAGTGAGAATCCTGGTCCTCCCCAGACGGGACTCCCTGGAGCACGGGGGCTGAGTGCTGACGCTCCCTCTCTGCCCAGTCTATCCAGGTGCGGCTGGACCTCGCACGGGAGCTAGGTGTTGGGGTCTCCATCTGGGAGCTGGGCCAGGGCCTGGACTACTTCTATGACCTGCTGTGAGCCACACGCTGGGCTCCCTGTGCACGTGGACTCCTTTCTAACTTAAAGAGTGATTGGGTGGTCACGTGATACACACCTGTCTGTCTGTCCGCTGCAGCTCGGGACCCCGACTTCCTCATCTGTGAGACCCAGGCCTGTCCTAGGCAGAACCCGAGGTCCCTGCTTGAGAAGGTCTCTGCACAGGGTCTGGGTTGGAAAGGTGTCACATTCGTGCTCTGCCCTTAATCTCCCCAGTTCAGGCCTGGGCAAGTGCATGGGACACAGCAGACTTGGGCAGGCATGGACTCCTGCCCCCACGGAGGTCTCTCTGTCCTTTGCTGTGCAGAGGGTGGGGGGATAGCCACACTTTGGTTCCTGCCCTGGCTTACAGCAGACAGAGCCATCGGACACCCTGGGGGAAGATCACCCCATGGCTGGCCTGTCGCCCGCAGATCCAAACACTAGCCTAGTCATCCTTGAAGATCTCCACCCCTGGCATGAGCTGTGCGGGTCCCAGGGGCATCCTGGTGACCATATGTCCTGACGCTGCAGGCATCAGTCCCTCCCCCCCATCTGAACGCAGAGATCCAGCCTCCCTCCAAATATAGGGCATGTGGTGCCCCCTAAGCCCAGTGTTCCTCCAGCAGCCTCCCCCATTCATGGCCAGGCACACCCCTCAGCAGCAGGAGAGAGATGAGCCATCCCATGGGCAGTCACTAGCCAGTGCCCTGGGCCAGTGAAGAGGAGACTGAGAACAGGATGGGGTCCCCTGGCCCTGAGGAACCTCAGCCCACTCATTTCCTTTCTGGTGCTGGCTTCACACAGACATGGGACCTGGGCCCTGAGTGACAGGTATCCATCAGGATGAGAGAAGTGGGGAGGGGTCCAGTGCTGTTCAGGATCAGAGGTCAGCCATGCAAACCTAGTCAACACCACTGGAAGAGGAGAGGAGATGGACTCAGTTTGAGGGGCTCCTGGAAGCCATTCACCGCATTAATGAACAGTCTCCAGGGGTGTCGGCCTTGGGCAGATTGGGCGCTGCCAGGTGGGGGAGGATGGAGCTAAACTCCCAAGATCAGGGCCCCCAGTAAGAGGGCTGGGGCCAGCTACTGAAGGACATCCAGACGGGCTAGGGCTGTTGGCGGCTCTGCCCTCAGACCAGGCCTTCCTCTGTGGACACCAAGGCTGCTTGGGGTACATGTCCACACAACACCAGGTGGGGGTCCTCCAGCCGCCTCCCCTGAAGCACCACCATGGCACCGAGGGTCTCTCTGGGGCCCCGCCTGGTCCAGAGGCTCCTGTGCAGGTCGGTTGGGGTGGGGAGCAGGGGCTGGGCAGGCAATGACAAACTCTGGGCAGCTGCTCCAACTTTATTAGATACAGCATGGCTGCCTGTGTGAAATGTGGAGCACCAGGCCTGCTTGACACGTGTCACAGGAGGCCTGGGTGTCAGCTCAGGTGTGCCCCCCCCAATGCTCCCAGAGGGGGTACAGGGTGAATAAAAACACTGCTTTGGAGATACATGAGTATAAAAAGCGCCGTAGCCTTCCCCCTCCCTGACCTGTGTCCCCTGCTCCCCTACCCACTTGACCCCTCACAGGCCACTGTCCTCTTCAGTCCTAGAGGCAGGTTCAGGCCTTCCTCAGGGCTGTGGGCTGGGGTCCTGGGCACCCAGCCTGCCACAGGGCAGACCTGTTGGGGAGGGCACAGATGGTGGAGATGTCCTTTGGCAGAGTGGCGGGGGCGGGGCTACGCACAGTAGGTGTCGGCCTTCACCACCTGGCAGTACATGGTCATGGCGAAGGTCAGGCCCAGGATCTGTGTGCAGGAGGGAAGACAATGGCCTGGGCCCAGACTCCCAGCATGCACCAGGAAGGTCTATGACCACCTGCCGACCCACCTGGGCGCCAAGGAGAGGAGGCCCGTCTGCAGCCTCTTTCTAAAAGTGGCCATGGGATTCTCACACAGGAGATGTCAAAGGTTTTGCTCCCCACAGCCCTGACTGGCTCCAGGGGTGCCCATGTCAGAACCACACACCCTGCCCTCTCTGCATACGTACCTGCACCAGAGCTGTGCACAGCCCGAAGATCCCCACAGCCAACAGGTTCTGCTGCAGCCATAGCTTCACCGTGTCATAGCAGGGCTGCATGAGGGGGAGCCCACAGGGTGAGAAGGCTCACCTTATGTCACAGACACTGTCACCCTAACCCTAGCCCCCCCAGGTCTTACCGCCTTCCACCAGGTGCCTGGTGCATGCAGGCCGCAGCTATCACTGAATTCCAGGCAGCAAGAGTCAGGCACTCGTGTGGCATTGTAGACCTCAAACCAGTCCGTGTAGTTGGAGACGCCACAGCAACGGAACTGGGGGCAGGGCAGTACTGGTCACCCCAGAGTCCCCAGGGTGGGATCCCCCCTGCCTGCCTAGCTGGAGGCAAACTTCATGGTCCAAGCACCGGCTCAAACCCAGAGCCTGCTGCATGTTTCTGAAAGACGGGAGTTACTACACCCTCAGAGGGGCCCACCTACCAGACTGCACTCACACACCCATCTTTACACCTGACTGGGACGGAGACATGCCCACTCACATCGGTCTGGATGATGCTCCAGGCGTTGGTGAGGCCCACGTTGCCTTGTGTACCATATAGGTGCAGCCCCTTCTTCAGGTCCCGCTGGGCATACCTGTCAATCTGGGAGCAGAGCGGGGCGCGTGACCTTCACGTGGGAAGCACCAGGTTCAGGTCCACGGGCACTCTGCCCACTGTGAAACACTCAGACATTCCATGGTGGGTGTGGAGGTGAGCGCCTACAGCCGTCTCGTTAGTCACATAACTGTGTTCTACGAAGCCACTGCTAACATACAGCTAGCTAGCTGTCCACCGCGGAGATACAGGGCTAAGCGTCTGGTCTCAAGGTTTCCATCCACCAGCCTACAGATCATCTTGTTGGATGTGTCTTCTGGTTACAGACTGCCACAGTTCATGAACACTCCCTGTTTCTGCAAAGGTACATCGCAGCCTTCCTGCACTTAGGCACAATATATAGCCTCCAGCTTAGCACTGCTCTTGACGCCATTTCAAACAGCAAAATCACAGCCAAAACACAAGGCACCCATCACAGGAGAGTCATCGCCGTGTTCTGAACGTCAGGTGACCACTGGATACAAAGTGTCCGCCTCCCTGCACTGCTCAGTAAAAGACTTCGGTGAAAGTGCCTAATGGCTTGATTTCAGATGACCAAGGTCATGTGAGTAGGAGAACTCGCAGTCAGGACCTGTGAGTGGTGACGATGAGCTGTGTGTGTGAGTATGTGTACACGTGTGTGCGTATGTCCCAGGCCCATGGGACACGGGAGGAGCTGTGTGTACCACTCACCTTGTCAGTGTAGACGAAGAAGAGGATGACAATGATGGTCTCCAGCAAGAACACGAACAGTAGCATCACGAAGAACTGGGTGGGGCGGGTGGGGGGGTGTCAGTACCTGTGTGCTCAGATGACCCCACCCACTAGAGGTCAGACAAGGACAGGGGCCACACAAACAGTGGCCCCCCCAAGGCTGCCCCACCCACTGATGGGAATTCAGATGGGAAACACGCTGGCAGGGGAGTGAAGCAAAATGGTCAAGAGGTCAGCTCAGCCAGGCTGGGGAGGCACCCAGGTAAGGTTCCCAGCAGGGCTCAGGGCCCCGTGTGGACATTACAGGTCTGTCGGAGGTGGACGTCCCCAGGAGTGGACTGACACATCTCTATCTAAGTCTGTCTCCATGACCCATGGCTGGGTCCCACACTCAGGGTGGAGGACTGGGAGGTGAGGACAAGGCGGGAGGTGGGGGTGTCAAGGGCCCATCCCAGAGAAGGCAAAACCCAGTAAGGCCACATGTGTGTCCTGCCGCACCCCTCTCTGAGCAGTTCTCTGGGGGCCCCTCCGTGTCCCTCCTTACTTACAGCCAGCAGCAGACATTTGTGCTCCTTGATGGCCCCAATGCAGCCCACAAAGCCGATGGCCATGACCAGTGAGCCCGTCACCATCAGCAGGTTGGCGGCCGACAGGGACGGGAAAGAGGAGGACAGGGTGGCAAAGTTCCCCTGCGTGGCGGCCAGCCAGATGCCAACACCGAGGACACCGCAGCCCCCCAGCTGCACCGCCGGGTGAGAGAGAAGGTGAGTCACTGAGTGGACCCCGACACCCACCCCTGAGCCGGAGCCCCGAGACTCCCCACGCGGGTGAGGCTTCACCTCTGTGGGCTCCCAGTCTCCCTTGACATCTGGGGTGGTTTTCCCACCTACCCACCCTGTAGGATTCCAAGTCTGCCCACTCAGGGCACCTGCTGTCCAGACCCCAAGTGGACCCACGCTGTCCTGCCAGGCGGTGGTGGTGTTAAGTGCCACTGAATCAGTTCTGACCAACAGCGACCCTGTACAAGGTTTCCGAGGAGCGGCTGGTGAGCTAGAACTGCTGACCTTGCAGTCCAGTGCATTAACCCACAGCGCCACACCAGGACTCTGTCCTGCCAAGTAGCCCCCACCATTCGTCTCCCTCTGAGCCCTCTCTCACCCCATGATCCTTGCCCCTCATGCCTTAGACCCAGGCCCCTCTCCCCCCACCACACACACACACACACTCACGCTGGACCTCTTCACCCACCCCAGTGCAGACAGAGAGTGCAAATGGGTCAATGCCACCCCCAGCCTCTCTCCACACCTGCTGTGGAGACCCCCATCAAGCACCACAACTGGACTGTTAAGCCTGCTGTCCCCTTTAATCAGGAGGTAGTCCCGGAACCCAAACAGCACAACCCTGTCCCCAAAGCCACCTTACACAGGAAGTCCAAACCCAGAACATCTCTCATAATCCACTGAGTTTAAGAAACTGGCACCCTAACCCTCACCTCTGATGCCAGGCTCTCGCTGAATTTCCTAATTGTTCCTAATGATAAAAATCAACTCTCAAAAAAACGGAGGATAAAGCTCTGGAGATACAGGCTGAGACCCCAGGGGCTAGGGGGAGTCATACCCTCCCCCCCCATGGTCATGCCAGCCTCCACCAAGGGCTCTCACAATCCACCTTCAAGACAAGGAACAGAGGGAGAGTCATTCTCAGTATGACCACCCCCCCAGGCCTAACCCAGGAAAATCCCCAGCCTGGCATGGAGAAAATGCCCCTCCCCACAGCACGGCAGGTCCAGAGCACTGGGCCCCACACCCCAGGCGGAGAGAAGGGGGGAGGGGAGGGGGGATGTCGCCCATCCCACATGGAGAGTGGAGGGTCTTCGTGCCCCGGGTCCAGGGGACCACAGTTCCAGACTAGGCAGAGGAAATGCTGAACCCTGGGTACTGGCCATGAGCCCAGTGGGAATCCAAGGGAGGTACAAGATGGCCAGGTGCAGAGGACCCCAAGGAAGGAGGGTCAGCGCTGTGTGCAGGCACCCAGGTCTGGGGTCCTCACCACAGGGTGGGCCAGAGACAGTTTCAGACAGGTAGCTGGGACCACATAAGGGGAGAAGTCCCTTCTGGGTGGAGGTGGCAGGGAAGCAAAGGGGGCGCTGTCCACAGTGCTGAACGTCAGGCCGACACGGCAGGAGTGAGGTCCACCTGGGTCACACCCATCTCAAGGGATGCTGCCACTGCGTCATGGAGCCCTCATCAGCACAAGGGAGGCCACAGAGGTACTGGCTGCTCATGTCACCCGGAGGCACACCAGTGATAGCAGGAGAAGAGCCTCAGAGGCCATCGCTGACAGAGACCCACTGCCGGTGCACGGTGCCTCCCCCACAGAGGAGCCTGGAGGGGCCACGAGGGATGATCCCAGAGCAGGACAACTCACCCACAGCCAGGGAAATGAGAGACCCAGGCCACAGGGGGGCAGGGTGACAGTGCATGGGGGGAGGGGCTGGCGCTGCCTCCCAAGGACACAGACACCTCTGTCAATGGAAAGGGAGCAGTGTCTGTTCCCCTCCCCATGGGGCGCTGCTGAAGGGCGCAGGAAGGACAGGATGCAGAGCGGCCTGGAGCTGCAGGAGAGGAGGACAGTGTCTGTCCATCCAGGGAGCTGGGAAGGGAGGGACCGCATAACTCACTGCCCCCACTCATGGTTCCTATGGCAAGATGCCCACACACGTCACCACACACACATAATGTCACACCATCACACATCCTGACAGACGAGCCATGTCACACCCCCATGTCATACATGCCCACAGACATTGTCACCACACACACACACCACACACACATGTCACACCATCACACACCCTGACAGACTCACCCCATATCACACACACCCACACACAGTGTCACCATACGCACAGTCACACCATCACACATCCTGACAGCTCACCCAGTGACACAGATGCCCACACATCACACACACACCACACACATGTCACACATATCACACATGCTGACAGATGGCTCACCCTGTATCACAGATGCCCACAGACATTGTCACCACACACATCACACACACATAATGTCACATGTATCACACTTCCTGACAGACGAGCCATGTCACACCATGTCTCACACACCCACACACATTGTCACCACACACACGTCACACACATCACACATCCTGACAGATGCCTCACCCCATGTCTTACACACACACACACACTGTCACCACATCACACTTCCTGACAGACGCCTCACACCTGTGTCACAGACGCCCACACACATCACCAGTGTCACATCATAATGAGACTCACATCACTGGTGTCCCCACACATTGTCACACATGTCCACTCAATTACTGGTGTCCCCACACAAACTTTCCACAGACATCCCTGGTCACAGACACACACATCACCAGTGTTATGACAGTTACATGGTCACAGACACCCACTCACGTCACTGGTACTCCCACACATACATGTGGTCACATGTCAGTACACACACAAAATCCAATACTCTACCTCTTCCCAGAGGCACCTCTCAAGTCCACCACCCATTCAAAAACAGGGCCCAGACCCATCACCAGTAACTCCTGCTGACCCGCCAACACGTGAGCGCTGACCCAGAACAGCCTGTGGCTAATGAAATTCTCTGTAATTTTGAAAATGGTTCTGCATGTGCAGCTTCTAAAACATTTTGGCAGGAAAATTACAGCCTCAAAGTGCGGGGAACAATGGACCCCATTAGACGCCCAGACAGAACCTCCAACGTCGGGTCAGACAGCCAAGGTCCTCCAGGACAACGGCAACTGGGGAGGAGCGGGGGACCCATCCCAGAGGGTGGGAGCCTCAGGGATGCAGCCCGGACCCCCACGCAGCACCGAGCTGGGGCCCCTTCTCTGGCCGCGGCCTTTTCTGTCCACGTTTTGGAGTGGTATCTGCATGAGCAGGCAGGCCCCGGGGTGACTGGTGTCCATCAAATATGCTCCAGGCCTTCAGCCTGCTGCCCTCTGGCTACAGGACCTACAAGCAGATGGACAGGCAGCTGGCCCACACCCTGGGAATGGGTCCTGCTGTACCCAACCAGCCCCTGGCCAGCCAAGGGCAGAAGCGAGTCTGCCCGAGCCAGACGGTCAGGGCGGAAGGACACAGGGCCAGGCACGGTGGGTGGCATGAATGTTAACGCACCAACAACAGCCGACTCCGGGCACACAGCACTGCCTTGGTGGGAGTGAGGTGTACCAGGAGGGCCGGCTTCAGGACAGCCGATGTTCTTCTGGGATGCCGGTGACAAGGGTGCCTGGGTTTCTCAAGCCAGTGCACACTGTCCACTAAAGTTGCACATCCAGGCCACCGCACTGCCCCTCACCCCCTGTCCTCAGCTCACCTACCCGACACTGGTGTCCCCAGGGGCTCCAAGACACAGAAGAAGACTGCCCTCCCTGAGAAGGGGATGGGAGTAGCTCTCTCAGCAGTTCTTGGGGTCTGCATGTCTAGCCCTCTTGGGAGCACCAGGATTCGAACTCTGAAGGGTGAGTATGAGTTTGCTGGAGAAGCATCCAAGGGAGACCGTGACCAGGGCTGGGCCCATCAGGACTCCTTGGGTAACCCAATAAGGGATGTGAACGTGTCCTTATTTGGAAATAGGGTTTCTCTGTGTAATGGGAGGGCCCTAATCCTAACTGGGAGTCCTAGGGAGGAGCTGTACGGTAGAGCACTGGTCGGTTTAAACCACAAGGTCGGTGGTTCAGACTCACTGGCCACTCCTTGGAAACCCTATACAGGGTCGCTATGAGTCAGCTGATAACCCTTAACAAGAAGCAGCCCAGCTGAAAGCAGTCCTTGCAAGAGAGGAAACACCTGGAGCTACGGGCACCTCAAGCTGGTGCGGAGCGGGATGTGCTGCTGACCACACACTGAATCTGGACCTCTACCAAGAGAATTCACGTCTGGGAAAAGCCACGTACTTGGTTCTGGCAGCTCTGTCCTAGGAGACACCCCAGAAGGGACACCGGCACCCATCCAGTCCGAGGATCTACCTGTGGAATCTGAGCCCCCACTCAGCTGGAAGCTGACTCCCCATTCCATTCTCCCACACACCCCCACCTGCCACTACCCCGAGCCTGCCCACCAGCCAATTATCACAGGAGACTCGACCATGGGAAGCCAAGTGGGAGGTCTGGGGAGGCCCCCACACGGCCCAGCACCCTATGTGCAAGAGGAGCCTGTGGGCAGTCCCGTCCTGTGGTGCCCCCCAGCTCTGTGGAGCCTTTGCCATCATCCCTGGAGCCCCCTCATCAGCCTGGACAGTGCTCAGCAGCTGACAAGTCGAGCATCGTCAGCGGCTCATTAGAGAGGAAAATCCAGACTGGAGACTTGCGATCGATCAGCCACATTGTCAAGCCTCTGGAATCGGAGAGTGGAGCCCCCACATCCAAGGACGTTCGGGCAGCCCTACCTTCTCACTGGACCACCACTCCACTGCCCCCATGCCCACCTCCCAGTGACCTTCATCCATTACCAGCACTAACTCTGGGGTCTGCAGGCTTAGTTAGGGCTCCCCTGTATGGCCCCTACATGGTACAGATGGGAAAACTAAAGGCCCAAGAGGGCAGGCATTATCCTGAGCCCCTGGAAGCTGTGAAGGAGCTCAGCCCAGCCCCCATCACCAGTCTTCTCCTGCCTCAGCCTCACCCGCCCCCCAGCCCCTCTCCTGGGGGACCTGGAGCAGCCAGGCGGGGGTGGGGTGGGGGGGAGACGGGCCTTCTTCCTCTCATCTATCCCTGGGGCCTCAGCAACAATCAGAGAAGAGCTTTGCTGGCAGAAGCTGTGCAGAGGTGGAGACCAGAGGCCTGGGTCCTGGGGGGCTACATAGCCTGGGCGCCCCTCATCCTCTCCCAGCCCAGCCTCATGCATGACCACAGCTGAAGCTTCCCTGGTCTGCCCCCTGTGTGTGAATGAGTGTGCTGATTCATGTGTGTTTGCTCTGTGTGTGTGCCCTCCGCTGCCTCATGCACACAGACAGACATGAGCCCAGCAACCCACTCTGTACATGGGTGGCAACGATGTCACACAGACCCAGCCCTGTGGAGTGGAGCCCAGCCCAGGTCAGTCTGAGGACACACAGTGAAACTTTGTGTTGGGGACCTGCTGTGGGGCAGCCCCCCACCCAAGGAAATCCAATGAAACTGGGATCCTAAATAAGTCAGCTGTGGTACTGCAGGACAAAGTACTGGATTGCAAGGTCAGCGGTTCAAACTCACCAGCCGCTCCTCAGTAACTCTACACAGGGTCACTATTAGTCAGAACGGCCTCAATGGCACTGAACAGTTAACTTTCAGGATCAGCCCTTCTCTGCCCCCAGCCCACCTCCCCAGTAGGACCCCAACCCTCCCTCAGGCACAAAGCTCTCAGGAAACATCTGCGAGGGGCTTGTGGGGGGTGGTCTGCCCTTGGTGGACGAGAGCCTTGGAGCTGATCTTGAGGGAGATGTTGGCAGGCGCTGTGTTAGGGAAGGGTGAGAAGTCAGAGACCAGTAGGACTCATATATATATATAGCCCCTTCACGGGGGGGGGGGGGGGGGGTCCTGAGACCCAGACCCACGGGCACTCCCCCCGGGGCCTCAGCCCTGACCCTCGGCTCCAGGTGGGGCACACAACTCCTCCTATACACCTCTAGGCAGGGAAAAGGCTCAGGGGAGGGGTGGCCACCAAAAGAAAGGGGTACATCCACCTCTCCCACTCTCCCCAGCCCTGTGCAGCCAAGACCCCCATGGTAAGTCCCTTACCTGCACCCCAGCCCCAGCCCTTAGTGTTAGACCGCCCAACCCCTCCTTTCGGTCTCAGGCACTAGGCTGAGATCAGCCAGCAAGGGGCTCCAGGTGACTTGGCTGGAGGTGTGATTGGTAATAAATTCCCCTCTTGATCTTATTCAGGGTTGAGGACACCTCACTGAGGGGCTCAGTAGTGCATAGCCCCCTGATCTCCAGCTTGGGTTCACAGGGTAACGGGGGGGG